ACAGGAAGAGTTCTTGTCTCGTTCATCACAAAATTTTCAGCTCTAGCTCTACGTTCGTTCACCACATTTCTGCCGTTGTTGTTGTTGTTGTTGTTGTTGTTGTTGTTGTTATTGTTTCCCACAACAGCTCTGTAGTCCACAAAAAATGGGGAGCCCGAGGTCTCAAAACCCGGCACACACGACGCCGCGGGGAAACAAAACAAAAATAGAGAACAAGCCACTCGGAAAAAGAAAGCAAAATGATAGAAAGCAAAGAACAGGTATCGCACCGACCGTCCGAGAAAAGTATAGTCTAGGAGCTCCAATCCGTGGTCATCCAGAAGGTCTGAGGCGCTTTCCTTCTTGTTTTTCGTGCAAGGAGTAAATGAGTGGGACTGCTCTGTCGCTTCGCCAAACTGTGCCACACGTCCTTTTCGTGTTGGAAAGACTGCCACGGAGGGCGTGTCAATGAATGGTGTACTCTTGCACCCTGTTGCAAATGTCGCTGATTCACAATCGTTTATGTTACGCTTCCTCGGATCAACACCTATTATTCCTTTCGTCGTCGCTGCGGGATGCCATATGGGCCACCTCATTCCCTCTCTATTCGAGAGCATAGAGCGAGCTCAAAACACCCGTCTACCGTACAGCTACCTCATCTTCACCCTTGCTTGTTCTGAACACCTTTCTCATTCTGGTCGCCCAAGGAGGGCCAGCCAATCCCCCAGCTGTTTAAACTTCAAGCGACTAGTCTAAACAAGGAATAGAGAAAATAGTTCGTAGCTAGGTTCTTTGGCAAGAGTGAACGAACGTATTCTTTTCGTCTTACCGCCGTATGAGATGATGAAGGTGACCGGGCAAGGTAACGTTGTGGCGCCCATGTTTGGCAGCAGCCAGTCCAAGAGCACGGACGCGACCAAAATGAGGCATGTCACCTCAGTCACTACTACTACTTGTAAAGGCGACCTCGCCGCGATCTCGAACTCTGTCCTATGAGCTACAAGTCTCCACAGCAAGGCCAACCACCCGAGTACGACGGCCACCAACGACAGAAAAAGAACCACGGGCACCCAAACCATGTTCGAGATATGCCGGCGTCCAGACTTGCCGTCTGATTGACTTGGTTTTGCGCATTGAACAACTGTACAGTGCGGGATGCCACGTCCGCGCTGGGAAACTCTAGTCTACTGTAGTAGGAGCTGTACAAGTTCAAATTGCGGTTCATCCAGTGTCAAACGCCATAAAACAACGCGATTGGCTGATGAGGAGGTACATAGCGTTACCTATTTTGACTAAGTTAATCTGTCATCGAACACAAACGTGCCGAACGCTGACATCGAAGACGCACAAACACGTGTAGTCTAGTCTAGTCTGGATAATGTCCCAGAGATCAAATCGAAAACAATTTCACGACACTACGTACACAGTCCATGGCAACAACGCAGTATCCTCAATTATGTGCTCATGAAGATACTCGTCGTTGTATCGGCGGTGCACGGGGTTATGACGCCGGATGCTGCGTCCTCCTCCCCCCCCTTCCCCTCCCTAAGCCCTCTCTCTCTCTCTCTCTCGCTTTCCTCTGCTATATGCGGACGGTATGCGCGCAAGCTCAAGCTCGCCCAGGGGCTACGTGGGTTGTTACTATACCCCCGTGCATGAAATGTGCCCCCTCTATATACAAGATTTAGTATGGTCGTGTTTATATAGGAAATTGTATAGCGTCGGGGGGGGGGGGGGG